TATACGTTTTCCCGAAGTACGATTTTTTTTTCTGTGCACTGCTATCCGTAAAATTATTCCGAAGACTTTGGAATGCAGTAAAAAGACCTTGACAATGTTTGCGAAGGATTTACTTTTTATTCCAGATTATTTTCTTCTTTATTCCTCCCTTCTCCACCAATACATCCCATACGCGTTCGTACGTTGAAAATGATTGACATTAGAAAACGAATCGCGAAACTTTTGATCGGCAGTCAAGGTGAAATTATAAACCGTACAAAAATTATCAAGACAAGTGTTAATTTTTGTTTTATTTTATATATATGACAAGCCCATGGGATCACTGGTAATTAATAAACTTGTTTTTAAATTTTTTTGTTAAATAAATTATAAATTATATTGTTTAACACTGATATATTTATAAGTGTAATATATCAGTGTAAATGTGTATTTAATTTTTTTATTATGTCATAATGTATTTTGTTTGTTTACTTTCAGTAAATTAATAATTTTTTAAAATAATTTTTTGGCTCGACTTTTCAATATGCTCGCGCCCCCGGTGTAGAGTTGTCACGCTCCCCAAGGTGGCGCGGCCCACAGTTTGAGAAGCGATGGATTAAACCAATAAAATTAAAATTGAAATCTTAATAGATGTCCAATACTCTCGTAAGAAGGCTATATAGTGATTTATTTACTAAGGATTGGAAGGAGATAAATTTGGCTCAAGAAATTCTGGCTTTTTCACATAAAACGAAAGACTACTGGGATAGCAAAGTGTAGTTTTATGAACGTGTCAAAGCTTCTCGTAATGTTTTTTTATTGTTCTCAAAAGCTTGCGTTATCACTTTGAAGAACGATCCCAAAATATCTACTGTTGGTAATTTCTTCTGAAAGAAAACCTCGGATCGAGGCTTGCCTTGTCACGTTTTCGAGCCCAGTACCACTAAAGACCCGCCGTGTAGGGCAGCGATGCACGTTAAATCTGTCGAGAGCTGAAACGTCTTCCCGTGGTGTGGTGGGGTAGTTAGGAGAGGGGGTACCAGCTCAGGTGTCGTCCACGTCACTTGACCATGGTTCAAAATTATGTGGTCCGTCGCCAAAAGCCCTCGTGTAGCTGAACAGTGCGACGTTAATATTCAATCAATCAACCAATATGAAGGAAAAACCAGTACGTAGAACACAATAAAACCCCTAAGTGGGGTTTTCAGCGTATGTAGAGATTATAGATTAGGAAAATCAGAAGATAAATAATATTGTTGTCATCGGAACAGTTTCTAAGGAAATGTTTCATAGAAGCGACATGAAGATAAGTTTTATCTCCATCTTTTTCCTGTAAAAATCGACCTTACATTTTTTTATCTTGTTAAATCTAACGATAAGTAAAAAGTGATTACAATATATAAGCACCCCTTCAAAAAATGAATTTCATCTCCAAATTATTGCGCATCCAATCTTTGAGGTTTTTAAAAAAGGCTTTTCGGTATCGTTTGAGTTAAGTATACAGTAGGATTATTATGATTTGGCACAATTAAGAGGTCATTTTAAACTATTTTCGATTCAATTTATTTTCAGTAGGAATCTACTGTTTTACATTATACAACCTCTGAAAATAGACTTCAGTGAATTGTCCTGTAACCTTAACGTAGATGAAGTATTAACGAAAGTTATCTTATTGTCCTTCGAAATAGACAACTCCCATAACTATGCACCACTCAGATCTGCTATACAAGTCCTCGAAACTTTGCAAGAAGTCTTCCTTGGGGAGGGAGCTCAAAGGCCTTTTCACGTTTCGTTGGATGCTGTGGAATATCGTCAAATCTCTTTATTTTCAAAAAGAGTTTGAGTCATGGAAAAAGGAAGAAGTCTAAAGTATTGAGATCTATTGAGCATGGTGGATGTCCATATTGCATCACCTCTTTTTTTTCCAAAAGCTGTTTGACGATATTGGCTGTGCGAGTGCAAGCATTGTTGTGAACATAAATACATGACTCTTGTTGTTCGTACTGAAGTGGGTATTGGGGTGCGTACTGAGGTCGTACCCTGCGAAGACGTTTCATGAGATGGATCAAAATTTCAATATACTTTGCAGCCCATTTATCGTCATTCCCTCAAATTTATTCCCTCAGAAAATATGTCTCCCCCTCCAGCCCTATGCCTTAATAGTGGAGATGGAGATAGGTGGTGTTGCCATCTATCGTGTAAAAGTCCAACCTCTCTCAGGCTCTGGCGACCTTCATTTCTTATCTTCGGAAACAACACGGCAACAACAAGATCATTCATGTATTAAAAAAAGTTTATCATACTGATAAAACAACTAATTATTCACTTGTTATTAGTGATCATTTTAAATTTAATTTCATCAAATTGGATACCTCCGGCAAACCATTTTTTACACAAGTTTTCATTTTCCACAAAATCTTGTTGGGAATTTGGGTTGAGGTTTACAGTCGATGGCGGCTTATTTTCTATTAAATAAGGTAATTTAGACTCTATTTTCCTTTTAGACTAAACTTTTGTTAATGTAGATGTATGTCTGAGAGTATCGTCATATAGAAACTATCATTTTCTATTTTCTAAAAGTGCTCTAAAGAGTATTCTATCAATTTTCCTTCTTAAATAACTAATCAATATACTATATTTTTTATGTTTCGTACACGAATTAAAGTCACCTTAAAAAGGTCGTCCATGACATCCATTAATGTGGGAAAGATGGAAGGAAAATTAGCCATATTCAAAATAATTTCAATTTGTTCTTAGATAAGAACAACAACACAAATTATATTAACCAAAGTTTAGAGATGCACCGAGTTCCAAATATGAAAAGTAATTCATTCAGATCACTTACGTCTAAGCAATAGTTTCTAATTCTTTGAGACCTAATCTAATTTGATTCATAGTTGATAAATCGTCAACTTTAATTTTACAATATACAGCAACGAAATATCCATGCCTCACTTTCAAGTTTAATTAATCACTGCTCGCCGTTAGCAGTCTAACCTCTCTCTCCTTTCTAACCTTAAAGCTTAAACTTTATATGCAAGTCTTAATTTGCATGGCCACGTCTTTTTCTTCGGGAGGAAGTTTTATAACATAATAATTTTTAAAGACCCAATATTTTCCAATATAATTAGTATTTTAAGAGAACACGAATAGACCCGTCACAACCTTAATTTAAAAAAGGACAATTTTGAGGTTTTTATAATTTTACAAAAATACTATAAATTGTTTAATAACGTCATCGTCGCACTTGCGACGGATCTATTCACGTACTATCATCTAACCCTCTTGGGAAATCTTTGGGCTATCAATTCGCGTTTATTCACAACCAACCCTTTCGAAGAAGAAACCCGTGATATATGTAAATTAAGACTACTATATATAGTCTAGGTTTTCTAGCTAGCAAGACGGAGAAAGAGAGGGAACGGGATAAGATAGAATTCATTGCTACTGATCAGGTATTATAACTTTCCATAGAGTATTTCAAATATTTAATAGAAGAAAGATGTAAAGTGACAATTGATCACTATAGTTGAAATAGAACTAAATTAAGTGGGATAATAGATTTGTGATTTTATAAAGAGAGGATCGATTTTGATAGATTCCTGATAATTCGTGTATTCTGCTATTTATCCTCATTTTGTTCATATTGAGAATAATTCATCACGTTGAAAAACATTGAATCGGAGTTGTTATTTTTGTGAGATCAATAAATAGATTTTTTTATTATGGCTAGTGATTTCTTCTTTCCTCTCGCATCTTTAGATGGGTGAGAGAGATAGACGTTTCCCACAGACACTTTCAGACATATTGAGAAAACAGTCACTCAAAATTGCAATGAAAAACATAAACAAACCCAGGTGCTTAAGATATTACTCTTCGATTCTCACTTGCACAGTTGCGACACTTGTTGTGCAGATCAGATAATTTACCATTTCAGTAGCCATCATGGTGTGTAGCGTGCTCTCGTGATAAAAGTACTTGAAAAATTGAGCCTCTATCGTCACTTCAAAGCCATATTATTATGGATCCGAAATAACACGTGAAAAAGTTTAATTTTCAAGCAAAAACCTCTTGGTGGCGTGGTAACTTGTTGTGGTGCCAATGGCATACATATACCACAACAGGTCAGACTAGTCAGACCAGCATTCTCCGATCAACGTATTGTTCATTCCGTAGGCATACTCCTGGGATTTCTGATCGGAGTGCAATAAAAAACTTGCATTTAAAGTTCCATCCTTACAAAATAATGGTCGTGCAGAAACGCAATAACCGTGATTAGACTAATCACAGTGCATCTACTAAGGCCAATCAATATCATTTTCACATGAAATGATTAACCTTTCCAATGATAAAGCTCACTTTCCTTTCCAAAGATGTATGAACAAATAGAACTTGTACTACTTATTGTACAAAATAGTATCAGTATTGTGAAAATTACTTAATATAAAATATTTAAGTAGAGTAACTTCAAATAAAATGCTTATTGAATAACCCTCTCTTCACCTTAATATACTTTTACTTCACTACTACTATATACTACTTTATATATACTATTACTACTGTTAATTCATACTCTCTCTGTATATATATATTTATATATAAATATATATATATACAAATATAGATATATATATATATATATATACAAATATATATATATACAAATATAGATATATATATATATATATACAAATATATATATATATATACAAATATATATATTATATATATATAATATATATATATATATATATATATATTATATATATATATACAAATATGTATATTTATATATATATATATATATATATATATATATATATATGTTCAAATTTTCAATCACTAATAAAATAATTTTATTGATCCACTCAAGATGAAATACAATTTTTAAACTTGTAATGGAGGGCACTTTATGTTAATACAGTTTGTTCACATATTGTGCTTCATTACTTCTACTTAATTAATGAATAAATAGTAACAAACAAAAATAATAGTCCAATACCCTATATAAAAAGGAAAATCGCTCGAAGTGCAATGAATAGCCTGTTGGACTTTCAATCCAAAGTCGTGGGTTCGATTTCCTCTTTGAATGTCTTAATTTCTGAGAATGTGATTTATTTTTACTATACAATTCTATTAGAAAAATTAAATTTAATGAATGAATAAACAGTAAACAACACAAAAATATTATTCCAACACCATATATAAAAAAGAAAATGGCAAGGAAAATCGCTTTCTATTAGGCCGCTAAATATTGTGATAGAGTCACATGTGTATACATATTTATATTAATTGTAATTAAGTAATAAAAAGTATCTAAAATAAACGTTTTCTTTGTTACCCCAAGTAGGAGAATTGACTCAATTTTGTGTATATACACTCTGTCGCAAAAAAATATATGTACCCAGAAGAAATCAAGCTACAATCACGAAACTCGGCAAGAATGTAGTCTGGTAAAAGATATGCAAATGATTAAAATTTCGAAGCCAATGAGACAAGGCTAAGTGTGCTATGCGCATATTAGTTGCGCAACTGGGAGAGTTTAAAAGCATGAGTACGAGCGCCGTACGGCTATCCAAACGTATCTGATGACTTTGATAGACGATATTGAGACTTAGGATGCCTCTAAGATGTAACCGGCGGCAGTACGAGCAGCTGACGGACTTTGATAGGGGCCGTATAATAAGCCTCAGAGAAGCAGGTTGGTCGAATAGACGTATCGGCCGCCACCTCGGTCGGAGCGATATGGTAGTTGCTCGGTGTTGGCAACAGTGGATCACAGAAGGTAGAGTGTACCGTCGCGGAGGGTCAGGACGTCCCAGGAACACAAATGATCGCGAGGATCGTGCAATCAGAAGAGTGGCCACTTCGGCACCAACAACGTCGCTAGCATCGATTCAACGCCACTTACCTCCTTCCAGACATCCAGTGCCATCAAGAGAAACCATAAGGAGACGACTGACCGAAGTTGGCTTGAGGAGCCGACGTCCGCTAAGACGCTTACCACTGACCCCACATCATAGGCAGTGTCGACTGGATTTTTGCCGACCTCGGGCAACTTGGAGTGTGACAGACTGGAGACGTGTCGTCTTCAGTGATGAATCCCGATTCAGTCTCAGTGCTGATGACCACCGCACACGTGTCTGGAGGCGCAGCGGCCAGCGGTCCGATCCGGCATTTATTGTCGAGCGGCATACAGCAATTTCACAAGGTGTGACAGTGTGGGGAGCAATTTCTTGGGACACACGATCATCTTTAGTGGTCCTTCAAGGCACTTTGACAGCTCGCAGATACGTGGACGATATTTTAACGCCGATTGTGCTACCCATGCCATCAAGTCGCCCAGGTGCCATTTATCAACAAGATAATGCTCGTCCACATACTGCGCGACTCTCCCAATAATGTCTTCAAGGATATGACGTCCTACCATGGCCTGCCAGGTCACCAGATCTTTCGCCAATAGAGCATGTTGGCGACGCGCTGGGAAGGCAACTGCAGCCGCCCGAGATACAGGAGAATTAACTGCGCAGATGCAAAGACTATGGCAGGATCTTCCACAGGGGGTCATAAGTGATCTAATTAAATCGATGCCACGCCGAATTTCGGCTTGTATAGCTGCCAGAGGTGGCTTTACTACTTACTGATTTTTAACCTTTTGCAAGCTGTAACCGCTTAATAAAATGATATTTTGTTCTGAATTTTTAATCATTTGTTTATTTTCATATACACTACATGCATACCAAATTTCGTGAATGTAGCTCAATTTCTTCTGGGTGCATATATTTTTTTGCGACAGAGTGTATATATTACTTGTTAATACGTATTTCTCTCTCTTCTTCACTATGTCATCAAAATATTTTTTTAGGAAATTGTAATGCGTGATTCTAATACTAATAACATCTTTAAAAAAATATGGATTCTGTAATCAATTTAAGAAATAATTAAAACTTCAAAAATAAAAGTAAAAATATATTTTACTTCGATTTTTTTAAAAAAAAATAATAATCTCATTTTTAAATTACTTTTTAAATGTATTATCTTTTTATGAGAGACAGGGAATCAACTTTATAAGCAGATACAATGATGTAAAAATTCATAGGTGCTCATGTTTTCTACTCATCGCAAAGCTTTCTGACGTCATCTTCACTCTCCTTATTTGTATTTCAAACGGCAACCATGGTAACGCTCATAATCTAATTAACTTAACGGCTTAAAAGCAAAGCTTTTATTAAAATTCCATTTGCGTTACGTTAGAAGAAAGAAAACTCTAATCAAAACATCATTTTAAGATGCGGAAATGCATTTTTGGTGAATATGTTTTAAACGAGATGCCTGTTGACTAACAAAGGCCATGAAATTTCTGAAATGTTTCTCTCAGATTTGAAATGGCATTTTTAACATTCATAACCTTTTGTTAATTAGAACTCCATTTCTTTAATCGGAGGTTCTTTGCTTCTTAATTAATAAGCCTTGATTGCATTCATAGAACAAAATTGATGCGAGTAATATATTAGGATTCCATGGGAAAAAAATTGACAGAGCATGGAATTTTAAGTGAAACAAAGACAAAAAAAAGAAGCCTAATATGATTTACTATATCAATACCAAGTTATTTTTTAATTAATGTTCCCTTCGTTTGTTCTTTAGAAATAAACACTGAAATAGACATTTTTTTATCACACAGTTCTGCGAAACACAATTCTTCACACAAGAGACTACTGGAAACAAACTTTATTATGAACTTTCGTTGTAATTTGGCAACGGTGTATGTGATGGATTTGAGTTGTTAAATTTCTTGACATTTTACCGGACAAAAATTGAATTTGTTAAAACAAATGGATGAATGAATAATGGGGGAAAATTAATCTGTAGAAGTAGAAAATTCTTTTTTTAAGTATGTTATTCTTAAGTCAACGGTATTCAAACTGTGGTGCACGCCCCCTAGGGGGGAGGTGTGATATTTCTACGAAGGGGTGCCAGCATATTGAAAAGTCGACAACAAAAGATTATTTTAAAAAATTGTTAACTTACCGAATGTAAGCAAACAAAATGTGCGTTCTGCCATAACAAATAATAAAATACACATTTACACAGATATAATACACTTATAAATTTATTAGTACTTTACAATGAGTTTTATTATTAATTTAATAATAGCAAGTTTTTTTTAAGAACAGGTTTAATATTTACCAGTGTCGCCATGGGATTATCATATATAAAATTATATACAAAATGTAACACTTAACTTGATAATTTATATGGTTTATAACTATCTCATCACTGCCAATTAAAAGTTACGCGATTCGATCCCCAATATCACCGTTTTCCACGTAAGTGCGCGTATGTGTTGTATTGGGGGGGAGGAATAAAAAAACCAATTTTCTGAAATAAGTAAATCCTTTTCAAACACTGGCTATATCCTTTTATTACATTCCAAAGCCTTAGAAATAACTCTATGGATAGCCGTGCAAAGAACAAATCCTACTTCAGAAAGACGCATATATTTATACGGGACAATTAACGCTTTAGCTGAGCGAGGCATATATATATATAAGTCCAGGATAATTAATGCTTTGGCTGAGTGAGACATTTATATACGCCAGTGGCACTTAAGAGGTTAAAGTATAGTATTGCTGAATTCAATACATTGTTATTGTGTGTATGAGGGGGGCGCAATTAAAATTATGGTTAAATATTGGGTCGCAAATACTGAAACTTTGAGAAGAAAAGTCTTAAACAAAGTTATAATTTTGAAAATCTGACTGTTTCGACTACAGTTGTGTACAACGTGGGTTCTTATTCAATTTGAAAATAAAATTAAGTGCCGAGGAAATATTTCTTTGGTTCAAGTTTGTTTCTGGATTCAAGTTGCTTCAAATAACGCAGCAGAGGTCACGTAAATTCGAGATATTCCGACATTAAGATGTTTGATCTCGGAGCGGTGTGCCTTTCAAACATAAATATTTTCTATCAGTTTAAGATTTGGTAAGTTAGGTGTGACCAGGATATTAATTTGAATTCAATATCATGCTTCTTGAATCACTCCAACACAATTCGAGCCTTATGACGGGGAGTTGTACTGCTGGAAGATTCAACTTCCAGTTGGGAAGGCAGATGCCAAGTAAGGGTGCAACTGATCCGCAGTTATGCTCAGATCAGTATATGGTCTGTTCTACCTTAACTAAACGTCCCAGAGACGCACATGAGAACATCTCTTAAAGCATAATACCACCCCCACCATCCTGTATACAACCTGTTGTATATGGCGAGAGCAACTGCTCGCTTGGAAGGCAGCGTACCTGACACAACCATCGACAATCACGATTCATCCAATCATTCAATTCCACTTATCCATAGTCCAATCTCAATGTTCCTGGACCCGCTGCATGTGTAATTGACAGTAAAGTCTGGTCAACAGAAGCACGTGAGTGGGACATTTGCATTGTAGTCCCATATCCAACAGTTTCCACTGTGTTGTGTGTTCCCAAACTCTTGTTCTTGGACTTGCATGGTGTTGGGCTGTTAGCTGAGCAACTATCTAGCACCGATTTTGCTTTTTTAAAGGGTACAGTATCCGACATCATTCACATTTGATGACATCCTGGTGTTGATATTCTTGGGACTGTCAGTAAGCGAGATGAAACTATTCTTGCTAGGTTTCGCAGTGGACACAACCGAGCGGGTCTTAAAGTTTACCCTTCTTGTCCGAATTGCAATGTGATCCAAGCCACTCCTGACCACCTCTTGGCTTTTATTAGTTGCCATAAAAGCCAGCTGCTCTCAAGTCCTGCTACAGTTCTTCAATGTTTAAAGACACACGGGTTCATGGACTTTACCTAGATGTTTCTGTCGTTCAAGTGGGATAAGAAATAACAACACCCCAACATATTTGATGATGTGCAGACGTCCAACAGAATGGCGTCCACTGCTGGTTTCACCTCCATTTATGCACTTTGCACATATACCGTAAATTGCAGATCACAAAATACCTATTGAAGATACTCGTTTCGGGTATTTAGGTCATTACAATCAGCCCTTAATCAAATTCACTTAGATCAACAGTTTTTTCCATCACTGGCAAACATAAATACAA